CCAGAGGCGGGTGGGAACCGTGTCGCAGCATCTAGCCAGCGGGAGGCCTGGCTGTGTGAAACCCTGTCGCTGGAGACGCTGAGCTGCGTCGATTTCCAGCTTTGGCGCACAGATGAGGGGGTTTCGGGTGCAACACTGAACACCGTCTCAAGCTCGTGCGCCCCGAGTCAGCTTCTCAGCCCAGGGTGATGGTAACCCCACGACCACAGCCCGGCTTTTCTTTGAGCCCATCAGAGGACGGCTTTATTGTACACTCCGTCTCAGTCCATCCTTCTCAGAAGCCTTGTCTGCTCCCGTTCCTCCTCTGCAAGCTGGTCACCGCACTTTGTCCTGGGCAGTGTGCCGTCGTGTCTTTATTTAATGGGCGTATCATAGAAACCACTCTCCTGAAGCGGAGGGACCGGAATGTAAAACGTGTGCGCGCGCGCCCATATATGTACATTTTCAAGGAAGGTAAATGACTTATTATACAGTGTTATTTGGACTTTACTGTTTGAACCCTTAACCTCACCCTCTCCAACAAACGAAACGAAATCTTACTGGGATTCCTCACACTGTGGCTACAGGCAGGCCTCGTTCTTTCCGCCCCCTTGAACATTAAAAGTAACCCGATAGTTCCCCGTAGGGCTCAGGACTGCCTTCCTGTGCGTGGTACAGCATTGCAGTGAGCAGCCAAACGGCTCTCCCCGCGCACTCACCTGCCTGATGTTTTTTTTTTTTATTCCTCTGCTTCATTTCTTTTAGGTAAGAATAGTAAAGTTTAATCTTTTAGTCCCCAGGGTGATCACATTATCAAAATGAGAAAAGGAATTTGGGGGGAAGGGACACCTGATACCGATTTTAGTAGGATAATCCTAGGAAGGCAGGGGATTGAATGGCCCCCGCCCTCAGGTGTTGTGGAAGGAGTCAGAAGTGAACGGAGTGAAGGCTGACAGTGAGCAGAGCTGGGACTGGAGGACTGGAGAACATGCCACCTGCACCAAGGACAGAGCAATGCCAGGAAGAGCATAGGCAGGGCAGTATCAAAATACTGAGTAAAAAGGGGTTCTCCCGTTGTCCTTGACTTTGGGGTTATGAGGAGGCGGAGCAAAAACTTGGGTTTCCATTTCCTATACTCGGCAAGAGTCACGTTGGCTATTACCTGTTATTAAGCCCTTACCTTGCTTAGCTTTGAGAGAAAGGATGACTCAGACCCTCTCTTGTGATTAGCTTTTATTTTCATTACAGGAAGGGAATCAGGATCTAAAGTCTAGTCTTACCACTTCCTGGGTGATGTCGGTCGGTTTTCTTCCTCATTTGGTCCAGGGGCCTCTTGTGTAAACATTATTTGGAGTTGCCGGCTATAGGGCAGATCACGGGACACCAACCCTACAGTTGTTAAATCAGAATCTGGGGGTTGGGGAATTGCAGGTTGAGGCCCAGGGTGTGCATTTTTAGTTTGAAAATACTGTAAGAAAAGCAGCTTTTCTGGAACAAGAACCAGTTATTGCTCAGCTTCGTATAAAATGCCTGGACTGTGGCACATAGTTCAATGTATGACATTGTATAAATAAATGAAAAGCTCCAGCTATAAACATGTACAACCACTTATAGAATAACCTTACTTTTGTAGGGTACTTTACAAAGAGCTTTCAAATACTGCACCCATTCGATCATATATTTATTTACCCTCTCACCATTCTATATATCCTTAGAGAGTTTTAAAATCGTAATTCCATAAATTGTGAGTTCTTTTTATGATGCCTTCTTCAAATCTCCTCTGTACTTTACCCAATCATGTCTTTGGTTCATTGTGCCTCCAGAGCGTGGGAACTGGAAACTAGGACCGTGGGGCATGTCTAATACAATCAAGTAATCAGTAACTTTGGGGTTTTATTCCTATACAGGTAAACTGGGAATGAATTGGAGTTATTTTTATAGAAGGGGTATTAGATTTTAATATGCTCATTTAGGTTTACATGTATTTGTTGTTAAACTTAGGATGGCCCGCACTTTGGAACCACTGGCAAAGAAGATCTTTAAAGGAGTTTTAGTAGCTGAGTTTGTGGGCGTTTTTGGAGCATATATTTTGTTTAAAAAGATGGACACAAGCCAAGGTAGTCATAATTCAGAAGTAATGTTTTATAGAGGGGTATACAGTTTGCTAATACATTTTAGGTACTAAATGGCATTTTTTTTAAAACTGCTTCTTCAGATGATTAGGCATTTTTATAGCCACAAGGGGAAACTAGGTGTTTACTGTAAATGATTCCTCCTAAAAAAAATTAATGTTTGTAGACTAGGGAAAGTTTCACACTTTCTTGGGTTTTACTAGGGGGTGGGTAAGGCATAGAGCAAATGTCCTAGTCTAGCTCAATTTGGGAGTCCAGATGGAGCAAACACACCTCATCGTTTGGTAAACCGAGAGTAAGCGGCATAGCCATATTGTCTAAGTAACCAGTTTCTTAGGCTTGTAGAGTTCTGCTCAGTCCTGGGCACTGAAAGCCTTTTCCATGCAGCTGGCTGTTGCTGAAAGTGCTTTGACTTTTTGTGGGATGAAATTTTATGAGAGCTCACAAACTTTTAAATGAGGAAGTACTGCTTTCTCTTTTACTAAAGCAGGGAATAGCAGTCCCCAGTGGGGGCCATCTTTGAAACGTGTCATTTGTTTTCTTAAAAGTACTTACTTAAAAACCTGGGTATTGTACAGCCTTATTTCTAATTCCAAAACAAGGTAAATTGCATCCATAAAAATAATTTATATAGTTACATAAGGGAATTATATATTAACATTGAAAATTTGCTTTTAAATACCATTTCTAAATAAATACATCATATGTAGGCCACAAATTTTAAAACTTCAAAATAACTACAAAAGGCTGTATGCAAGTATAATTTACACCCAAAAGGATATAGTTCCTGGATTACCAGAAGGATCTTAACAAAAATTTCTAATCTGTGGGATCCCTTCTTTATCCCTACCCTAAGGCTAGCACTAAGTTATGGCTGCGTGTTTTAATATAATGAATTTCTAATCATGTCTAATTTTAAGACTCTTTTTTTCATTAGATTTCAGGCAAACAATGAGCAGGAAATTTCCCTCCATCTTGGAAGGTATGTTTCACACAAGCTGTTCACCTTATAGGTATTTGTGTATAACTTTTTCCTTAAGTAAAAATAAAACTACAAAAAGCTTTTTCAGGTAACCTATAAACTAAGTAGTAATTTCTTCATGACCAATTAAGGGCTAAATGACTTTATTTTGTAACATCTATTTCCAAAAAAACCTCTTCATCCCCATTTTAGCTCCTTCTGAGAAAACACAGTAGAGAAAATTCTTACCTACAGTTATTAAGATGAGAACCGTTAGCCTCATGGGCTGGAGTCTTAATTCTTCCAGTGGTTAAGAACGTGGACTATGGAATGGAACATAACTGAGGTGGTGATGGAATCAAACCAATCTCAGGTTTGCTAACATCTTGGAGCTGTTTCTCTGCCAAGTAGAGATAATCACACCCACTTCACAAATTGTTATAAGGATCAGATGAGGTAACATTACATAATTAGCACAGTATCTGCCTAATAAATAGTGTTCATTACAATGATTAGTATAGGTGCTACAGCTTCTGCATGAAATATGTAGCAAGAAGGAAAAAAGTTTGATATTTCTCAATACTATTTAATTTTAACATTTTTACATGATTTTATAAATGATTTTTTTTTAATAGTTTATTACAAATCCATTGAATATTCTGGAATGTATGGAATCAGACAGCAAGATCAAGAAAAATGGTTGAACAACAAAAGTTAGAAGTAAGTAGAATTTGAATTTATAATTTATCTAGAAAACACTCATTTTCTTTGCTTTTTAATTTTGTGAGTGGTTTTCGGCCTCTTTTTGAAATTTTTCTTCTTCTTGATGATACTCTTCACATCTCTGTTGTGTAGCCAGTCATCGCGTTCAGCCTCCCATCTGAGCTGCTTGAGACCTTTGCGGGGAGAGGAAAGATGAGCACATGGCACTGCAGAGTCCTGGGGGCCCCACAGAACTTCCTACTGAGTAACAGGAACTTGGGGTCTGCCAGGGACTAGTTTGCCAACCACTATGCAAATCCCCTGCTTGTTTGTTACTTTCCTTTATTTAATGTCAAAGATTACCATTTTATAAATAAAAGACTAGGACAGGAAAGGAACAAATTGCTCTGAAGATTTTATTTCCCCTGAACCCTTTTTACTGACAAAAGAACTGAAGCCAGTAACTATGAATATTGGAAAAAATTAAAATGTCTATAAAGCATTTATAAAGCTACTTAACAAAAAAATTCAAGTTACTTACTTGCATTATCTTTGTTAGCCATGGCATTCATGCCAATGTTGTCAAACTTGGATCCCATATTTTCATCCAATAGGTGGCCAAACTTAAAAAAAAAAGGGGGGGGGTATATTTATCAGAAAACTTAAGACAATGTTCAATAGCTAACTTCTTAAAGTAGTACATTAGCCTTACTTACCTCTTCAGCAGATACAAATAGGTTGGAGTCACTGAGATTTCTTTTCTTTGTTTTCCTGGGTCCTAAAAGAAGTATAAACCTAGATTATTAAATTGTAAATCCAATGATTTTGGAAAAATACAAATCTTTCAATACAGTTTTGTTTAAAAAAATTATACTCAGGCTAAAATACACAATTGCAGTTATCTTCTAACACCATTAGGTAGCTGGCACTTAAAGACAGAAATGTATTTAACAGTTAGTATATACTGTTTTTTTTAAAAGTTAGTATCCTAATAGAATTGTTCAGATGACTATTATGTCTTCTTGCCTTTCAGATTTGGCCACTGATCAAGGTTTACCCTATTTCATAGTATCAGGCACGATTAAATTCCAAAGTTGACATGGATGGATTTTGGAATATTTTAAGGCAAAATGTAAATTCTAATTAAGCCAGAGATTGTATTCTTTGGACTGTGAAGAAATTTTTGGAAGGTGTATGTATTATGTTATAAATAAAGTTTTGTTTATATTGCTCAAAATAAAGGGGTTCTCCTTAAAAATAAAACCTCATAATTCTGGATATATAAACTTTTCAAAGTAGATAAAATAGTAAAACATCTATTTTTAATATTTATTAAATAGTTTTTATCCATTTCCTGAAAACATACTATCCAAACTCTGCATCTTTGATGTCCATGTCTCTGGCACTACTAGAGTACTAAGGAATAAAATTCATCATAAAATTAAGCTGTTTTAAGAGTATAACTCAATACATTTTGGTAAATTTACAGAGTTGTTCAGCTGTTCAGTGTTGTTCAATGCAATTGTAGAACATTTCCATCCACTCCAAAAGATCCCTAGTGCCCATCTGTGGTAATATCCCATGAAGGCTTTGCCTTTTCTGGCTATTTTATATAAGTGGAATCATATAAGTGGTTTTCTGTATCTGGCTTCTTTCACTACGTGCAACAATTTTGAAGCTCATCCATGTTATAGCATGTACTGGCACTTCATTCCATTTTACTCCTGAATAATATTCCATTACATGGCTATACCATATTTTACTATTCAGTCACCAATGGACACTGGGCTGTTCCCACTTTTTGGCTATTACGAATAATGCTGCTATGAACAATCGTGCACAAGTCTTTGCATGAATATACCAGAGCCACTTCTGGTAAAATAGTTTCTAGAGCCCAGCTGGGCATGGCTCAGCGGTTGAGCGTCGACCCTAGGATCCAGGAGATCAGGGTTCGATTCCCGGTCAGGGCACATGTCCTGGTTGAGGGCTGCAGCCGATCAATGACTCTCTTCATCACTGATGTTTCTATCTCTCTCCCTCTCCCTTCCTCTCTCTGAAATCAATAAAGATATATTAAAAAAAAAAGTTTCTAGAGAATTTCATCTTAATTTTTATCAAAGTGAAATGTATGTTATATTTTTTAAGAGCTGTGTATGATGCTATTATTGACTGTTTTATCTGAAGCTAAAATGTTCATTGGTATAGAATTAGGAAAGGTTTTTTTTGTTTGTTTTCATTCATCTTATAGGTATAGAGCTGTAATTTCAGTTAGTAAACACTTTTGCTGCACTGCCTTCTTAAAGTTTCCTTAAGGTTTGATTATCCTTAGGGATATCCAACATGTGCAGATTAAGGTGAAGTCCTCAATCAAGTCTGAAATTCCTTTGCCTCCTTTGTTTTAATCAATTCTGCCAGGTACACGTTAATCTGCATCCAAAACTATTATTGAGATTTGATATTTCAGACTACTGTCTTCTGAAACAGTACTTTATTATTAAAAATAAGGGTACTGAGAGAGCATCTTTTAATATGACAGGCTCAGTAAGACTTGATATAAAGCAACATTGATTTTCTGAGAGATGATTTTGAGGAAGACTTTGCCTTATATTTATTTGAGCATATGCTACTATTAAAGCAAAACCTTACAGCACTCTATTGAAAACAAAATGTGGAAGACATGTTATAATTTAGGTATGTACCAGGTAAATCAATCTAATTAAGAGGACTGATTGTTAGCAGTGTTTGAAATAGCTGATAAAAATTTTGTACGCATAAAAACCTGAGACTACTACCAATATATAAGTAATTTTTATTAGTTTTGATATTGTCAAAACATTTAATGTCAAAAGTTTTTAATACTTCTTATTCAATTTTAATAAAATATTGTCCAGTGTTTTGTTTTTAGCTTTGCAAGTCTATTTTTATTCATAAGTGGAAGCTAGAGAGGCAAAGTGTGAAAAAAAGCACAAGCCTGTGTATTTTTTTGAAAATATTTTTTACTGATTTTTAGACAGAGGAAGGAAGAGGGAGAGAGAGAAACATCAATGTGAGAGCAAGCCATCAATCAGCTGCCTCCTGCATGCCCCCTACCAGATATGTGCCCTGACTGGGAATAGAACTGGCAACCTTTTGGGGCAACCAATTGAGCCACACCAGCAGGGCGCCTGTGTATTTATCCACAGAATTATGGGGTAAAATATTTATTTTTAGTGCTGTCTACATTTTTATCAGAAACTTAAGGCTGTCACCAAATAATAGTACTTTTTTATTTTATTAGTACCTTACAAGTGTTACACTAAAATAATAATGTGATGATATACTTTAAAAAAATGTTAGAGAACAAATTAGAGTATTTCATATCTGTTTCATATAAGATATTTTTGAGGCTAGAATTGTTCTGTCATGGCAGCAAGGTGGCAGATCTCATAAAAGAGGAAAATGAAGTTAATAAAGAGCATGGATTTTTAGAAGGGTAAAGTGGCAAAGATTAAGACTTGGTTGAGAAAAGGCAAAAGGTGTCCATTGAAAATCCAGGCTTACACATAATTGAATGGTTTAAACATAAATGATCTAGAGACACTCAGATGTGAGAGGAAAGAATTCAGGAAGAAAAAATAATTGAAGGTGTATGTGGGAAATAATTTTCACATATTAAAATACATAGAACTGTTACTACCCATTATAAAAATGAACTAAATTGTACTAACCAACAATTTAGAAAAGTTAATTTCCCGAAATAATAATGAATAACAACTTTCATATGCACACTGCTTAGGTTTCAAAAACACTAAATGCATTTTCTTACCTTGAAATGATTCAGCAAAGTCAAAATCATTTGCACGTTTCCTCTTGCTTTTCTTAGAATTGACGTTGGAGCTGACTTCATTAAGTTCTATTACCAAAAAATGAGCTATTAAGTAATTTTAAAAAAACAAGACTGCCACAGGGTTATGATGAATGATGAATATTGATTAACTTTTAGAAAATGGTAATTACTATTCTAACATTAAAAAGGGCAACAGTGTGGTGACTGCACTGGGCCGGGGGGGAGAGTGGAGGTGGAAGAAAGCATAGAGGGGATAAATGGTGATGGAAAAAATAAAATAAATAAAAATAACAAAATAATATAAATTACAGGGGGCAACGTAACAACTCAACATGTATTACACAGATAGCCTAATTATTGATTAAAATAAAAGTCCAAAACTCAATACTCAAATGCTTTAAAAAAAACACCTTCCAGTTCCAAATGAGAGGGGGAAAAGGTCCTCTTCAAATGTTTGGCCGATCTGAGTATTAACTTGAATACAGAGTAATATTAAAAAACATTCAAAAGAAAAACTAGCCTACATGAGGAAGAAAGGAAGATATAGTTTGTTTCTGTCTTATATTTTAAAAATGCTTACCTTGAATGCCGTCACTCTCGTCATCCAACACATCCATGAATGTTCCTCCATCGTCATCAATTTCAGTAAATTCTTCATTCATACTTCCTAAAGACACTTCATCATCATCCAGGTTTTCAAGGTCGTCATCACTATCTTCCGAATCTTCACTTTCTGGCTCACCCTTAGCTCCTTTTGTTTTCTTTTTCACATTGCTGAAGGAAGAGTAAATAAGAACAGTTTTCTAAACTGTGATTTGGTGACTACCAGGATATTAGACTATTAACAGGTTTAAAAGGAGAGTTACAGAACTTCAATATGAATTATAAAAGGTCCAAAATGAAAGTACTGGATCCAATTTCCCAAGCTTTTTCAATACCTCTGCTGTTCTGAGGACAGCAATTTGGGAAATGCTGAGAAAACAGTTAAAAGAAAATACTGAAGAAATGTATTTTACCCAGCAAAATCAAGATCATCCTTTCCAGAGGTGAAACAATTATCATCTTCAAATGTATCTGCCAGAGAATATACAAATTGTGAGATATAACAAAAAATAACAAAGTTGACATGTCTTATTTCTGAATCAAAAGTCATGATTCTTCCGTTTATGACAAACACCAAAATAAACCTGTGCATATACTGACCTAATTAAATTCCTAAATTAAAATGGGTTCCAGTTAATTTCAGCTTCTACAGTTCTTTTATAAAAAGAGGGTGAATATCAAATATTTAGATACTGCAGTCCTTTTTACTCTATTAGAACTATTTAAGTGAACTCAATGTAAGCCTTTCTAATTTCTCATGTTTTGTTTCAGTCTAAATTTCAATTAAAATTTTCTAGCTCTGTGGAGTATAAAGATAAAATAGATGAAATAGTAGACTATTGCTACTAATAATGTAAGGAGATTAGGAATAGTAAAAATGATTTCTCTTTCATAGGAGATTTGGCCTTAAGAATGAATATACTCATGTAAAATATAATGTTTTTTGCTCCATAAATCGTCAAAGAACTGCATATCTTTCTGCAGCAAATGTGGGTGAATTACCATATCCCCCCAAAATATTTAATCCTCCATTTATTTGCATGGTGTTCTTAGTTAAAATAAGTCTTTATTTTTTACTTATTTTTTAATCCTCACCTGAGAATATCCTTTTCCATTGCTTTTTCAGAGAGGGGGAGGGGAAGAGAGGGAGAGTGAGAAACATCAGTGTGAGAAAGACACATCGAATGGTTGCCTCCCGCACTCGGCTAGGGCCGGGGATCGTACTTGCAACCGAGGTAAGTGCCCTTGGCTGGAACAGAACCCAGGACCCTTCAGTCTGCAGGCCGAGGCTCTCACCACTGAGCAAAACCAGTGAGGGCAGTTTAATGATTTTTTAAACTAAGGCCACCTCTACATCTAACACTCTATGGTTCTATAAATAAATAGTAATAAATTATTTTCAAATTAAACAGTCAACAAATTACCTATCATCTTTTCAAATTCCTCATCATCCACATCTTCTATACTTTCTTCATCTGCATCCCGTTTCTGTTTCTCTTTAACAAGAGCAACTTTTTTATAATACCTAAAATAAAATTCATGTTATGTATTTGGTAATTTTACTATAAGGCCCACTTGAAACCAGTGTAAAAGTTGTTAACTCAATTGGATATAAATGACTAAAATTTTTATTTATTATAGAAAAAAGTTTTGAATTCTACAGAACAGTTGGAAACTTCCAAAATGTTAAGTATAAATTTCAGATATTTAGGTTAAGTTCTTCATAAAAATACCTCAACTCATCTTAACGTGGCTGACCTCTAGTCACAAAATTTTATCGGTCAGACCTATTGTCATAATGGGGTACAGTGAAACTTAGCATATAGTAATGATACCAGTAGGTTTAGGACTTATCTCTATAGCAGCACAGTGAATTTTGCTAACTCTGCTTAGAGCCACATTTTGGACAAATTACTCATGAGTTGTTTGTAATTACATTAGCCTAATACAGATTTAAAGCCTCTAAGAAAATTACTGTGTTATAAAAGGGAATTAAAGATTAGGCTCTATAATGTCAAGTCTCATGAAACAAAAATTATGCTATATTAGTAAAAACAAAACCCCCATATTTACTTGTTTTAGTTTCACTTGGATATCTTAATGTTAGCAAAATTACTAACTTATAAATTATCTTCACAAAAATGGATACTGATAGGTCTTTCTATCTTTTCAAGGTTGGCCTATGTTAACAAAGCATTTTATGGAATGTAAACAGTTACATTTAACAGTTCCCCAAATGAAACTATATTAAGTATATTACCTATAGAAAAACACTTCATCCACTGGTATTTGGCTTTCTTCTTTTGTAAGGAACTCCTTACTGTTCACTAGAAAAATTCAGTTAAAACTTTTATTAAAGAAATCCTTTTTATGTTATTCAAGCTCTTAAGACTATAGCATACCCACAATCCTAACATCTCAAAATGTTAAGGAAGGTGGACAAAACAGATCCTAGAGTGCAAAGGACAATCTCTGGAAAAGTCTATGTGGAAGAGACCCAACATTTGAAACTGATCGTGGGCTAAATGAAAAGTAGGCAGTACTTAGCCAACAGTAAGTACACCACAGTGAAAGAACAGGGTCTCTGACACTGTCCTCCAATTGCACCCCAGATCTGAATTTTAAGAGACATAAAAATTCAAAGAGTTCTTTTAATAATCACTTTAAACTTGCCATTTTCATCCCAGAAAAAGGACAATGCCTGCCATTCTTGGAACAGGAAGCAAAGGCAAACAAAGAATTATCCACAGTTTTACTTAATTCTGAGGAAACGAACAAAATTAGGGAGCTACAAGGATGTTTGTTTCCCCTCTTCAGAATAAAAATTTCTGACTCATCTTAATTAAAAGAGAATTTGGCTTCTAATTCTGTTAACTTTGGGCAAGTCTTTTCACACCTCTGGACATCTGTGAAATAAGTCAGTTGGAAATTAAATGCTTTATTAGATGTACTTTCACCTTGGCCTTTGAACAAAAAGGAGTTGGGATCTGTTATGCAAAGAAATGTCTGCTCTGAAAAGAAAAACAAAGACTCAGACCCTAAGATGGGTAAATACCCACAGAAGTAGAAGGTTATCCACTAAGTTAACATGATGCTCTGTGACAAAACTCTGTGTGGGTTTTCTGCTAAGCCCATATTAGAGAGCTTAAGATGGTCTGAACTGTAGAAGAATGACATGTATATGTGGGGGGTGTCACTGATAAAGCTAGAGGTGATATCAGAATGGCAAAATATTGGTAATTATTAAAGCTGGGAGATAGTCTTTGGGGGGAGGGGTGGAAGTTGATCATACTATTTATTTTTTTAATATATCTTTATTGATTTCAGAGAGAGGAAAGGACAGGGAGAGAGATAGAAACATCAATGATGAGAGAGTCATTGATCTGCTGCTTCCTGCACGCCTCCCACTGAGGATTGAGCCCGCAACCCAGGCATGTGCCCTGACCGGGAATTGAACCCTGATTGCCTGGATCCTAGGTCGATGCTCAGCCGCCGAGCCATGCCCAGCTGGGCGATCATACTATTTATTTACTTTGGGTATGTTTGATATTTTGTCTAATAAAGTTAAAAAAAAAAAAAAAAGGCCCAGTTAGACATAGCAGACTTAAGAATGCCTACACATTCTTAGGAACAAAAGATGGATAACGTCTCTGGTGCTTAGGTTTTATGTGTTATTAACATGTACTATCTTGTAAATTTCAACTGTCCAGGCTTTTATAAATTATTATAAAGTATTTTATAAATACTTACCAGCAAGACTACGGATATCCTTTATAAAATGTTTTCTTTTTGGCTGCATCACAACACTGTCTGTGTTTTCTGAAATGTAAAATCAAGACAGTGCAATGTAAAACCTAGTTATGTGCTCCTATTGTTTATTAAATATCAACGGTGAAAACCAAATAATTCATCAACGAGAAGCATACCTTTGCCTTTATGTGGCTTTGGATTTCGGTATACAAATCGATCCAAGAATCTTATTAGTGTGAAATCCTGAAGTGGGTCCCCTGAATACTGAATATAATTTCCCTGAAAGATGGGGGAAATTTCAGAACTTATATATATGCATCCAGATAAGAAGCAGAGGAAAATGTAAGCATCTATTACATACAATACATAGAAGGCACAAATCTGCAATAAATGACTCTTCAAATATTCCTCTCGTGCATTTTTAAAAAAATTCTCACCCAAGGATATGTTTTTAGAGAGAAAGGAAGAGGGAGAGAGGGAGGGGGGGAGAGAAACTGATGTGAGAAACATCGATCAGTTGCCTCCTGTACGTGCCCTGACTGGGGATTAAACCCGCAACCTAGTTATGTGCCCTGACTTAGAATCGAACCTACAGCCTTTGGGGTACCAAAGCCACCTGGCCAGGGGTTATGCACATTATTCCTTACTTAAATTAAACACACACTGAGACATATTCTCTGATACACTGCTGATTATATGAACAGGTAAGTAATATTAATACTATAGGTCATATAACCATTAATCAGGAACCAAGCCCTGAAGTAGCAAACGAAAGGGGAGGGCAATCTTTCTCTAAGAGAAAAGCCTGAATGTAATAAATAACTGTGGTTTCCTAAAATCCTGTATTTCCATTCATCTCAGAGTGGGAAGGCTTAACTGCTGCTCTGTATTAAGTGAGTCACTGCACCTTTACATCAGCAGACAAATGTATATGATTCTATCTGGTGGAAGAAATACTGTATGACCAATTTATTATCTAAAACTAGATTACTTATTTTTCTTATATCATGTCTTTTGAATATTTTAGACTTACCTGAAGGATAGTTTTTGCAAATAGAGCCACAGAGGGATGAAAATGTTCAGATAGCTAAAAAGAAAAATGTGAATGAGGTCAACTCTTACTACAATTATAGATTATTTAAGAAAACCCAAAGAATTAAAACTTAAGCTAATACATTAGAAGAGTGAGTCTCAAAATTTTGGTTTTAGGGCTGCTTAATATACTTAAAAATCTAGGACCTCAAGAGTGTCCTTAATTTAAGTGGGATATATCTATTGTTATTTACGTTATTAGAAATTACAACAAACATTTTAAACACTATTTACAGTTTACTTGAAGTAATATTAGTACATATATAACATATTTTATGAAAGTTGTTTTTAAGAATATTAGTGAGAAGAGTAGCATTATTTTAGTTTTACAAATCTGTTTAATGTCTAGCTTAATAAGAATATAATGGATTCTCACATCTACTTCCATATTCCATGTTATTTTAGTTGGAGTATATGAAGAAAATCTGGCCTCAGACAGAGATACAGTTGGAAAAAGAAGGATTTATTAATAGCCTTTCACATAATTGTGGATTTTCTTCATGTTCAAGACAGTATCTCCCAAATACCCAAGCCTAAATAACTAGTCTGTCATTCAGCCAGTCTTTCATGAAAAAAGTAGCTAACTGAGTTTCCAGCAATCACACAGATACTTGTCCTTGGGCGGTGAGACAACCTTCATATTCAGGTATGCAGCAGAATGCATTATGCATTCTTACTATATATGCACAGCGGATACTAAAAAAAATATACTTTAGGGTCAAGATAATAAAATCAAGTTTTTCCTGCTTTATCATTCTTACATGATACTGTCTTTTAAAAAAACTGAAAGTATGTGGCAATAAAGAATATAATGATGTGAGTGTGGCTTAGTGCTGTCTTTATTGTGCTAAGGCACCGACAGTTTTACCCATTATTTCTTTTACACCATCAGTGCCGCTGTCAACATAGTGACAAAGGTAAATACTGTCTTGGTATCACCATGCAAGTAGTTGTAACCTTGCAGACTTGCTGAAAAAGGGGTTAGGGACCCCCAGGAGTCTGTGCCCATACTTTCAGAATCACTACACAGGAAGACATTTATTTGCTTTAAAAGAGAAACCATAAAAGGTTATTAAAAATATGAGGTACTCTTAAACATTTAAAAAGTACCTTTACTTGCAAAAAGTACTTTCATCACAAAACTTTTCAGGGGTATTTAATGCATAAAGCAAAATTTACCTGTTTTACAGAGCTGTTACATGCAATAATCTACCTACAAAAAGCAAAACTTATTTATAGCCATGTACAACCATCCTTATTTTGTATGTACATTATTTAAGATTTTCTATATGTGAATGCAGAAAGGTGTAAATTTAATGTTTCACAGAGGCAACAGAAATATGGGTTAAAAAGTATTAACAGCTGTGTACTTCAAATTGCTTCCTTATGACAACTCATGTTTAAATAACAACTCCTATATTTATTATTTGCAAGAAAATGGGAACTTCAGGGTATGTTAAATCCTTGAGGACAAATACATAGCACAAATGAATCAAAAGACAAACTGAAATTATTTTACCTTTTTGAGTTCCCAAAAACTTGTATTTTCAGCTCCACAGAACAAAGGGTTTCTACTGAATGGATCATATGTGTTTAACCGTTTGCCACCTGAGAACAAAACCCAGCATTTTTCAAATGCTTTATTTCTAGCCTAAGGTATCACTAAAGCCACCATCATTAATGTTATCAACAGATATTTCCCACATTCTTCATTAGCCAGGCATCCTACCTACATTAAACATTAAAAGCTCCAAGGCCCACCCGGCCAGCATGGCTCAGCAGTTGAGCACTGACCTATGATGCAGGAGATTATGGTTCAATTCCCAGTCAGGGCACATGCCAGGCTTACGGGTTCGATCCCCAGTGGGGGGAGTGCAGGAGGCAGCCAACCAATGACTCTCTCATCACTGATGTTTCTAGCTCTCTCTCTCCCTCTCCCTTCCTCTCTCTGAAATCAATAGATATTAAAAAAACAACACACAAAACCAACAAAAAAACTCCAAGGCCCTTCAAGAATTTATCCTTATACCCAAGCTAGCATTTTGCTATTGAATAAATCAGGCAGCAAGTTTACCCCAACTACTAAAAGATCCCCTTCAAAATTCCTTTTCAAATAGCAAGAAAAGGTGCCCAATTCTGGGTAAATTAGGTTGTAAGTGTTAAGATGGCAAATAACCTGAAGATGAAATAGGTCTACAGTCTTTTGAAACTTTAGAGCTCTAAATATTTGTAATTTAATTATGTCCAGAAATAATTCTCACTCACAACAGGTTTTACACTTTCTTCATGTTTTCAGAAACTCAGGATTAAACAATGTAAAACAAAGAGTTTTCAGAACACACTGTGAACTGTCTGCTTTACAGTGTCCATGCCCATTATCCTTCTAAAGCATATTCTCAGTTTAGCCTTAAGACAACCGATGGATCTCTTTTAAAAGCTTTCCTGATGGCTACCAAACTTCTTTTAAACTTCGCAGGCAAACTGAAATTTGGAGAGAGAAAATAATTTGACCACGAGTCCCACAACAAGTTTGAAGAAATAGGTCTGGCCCATTTATTAATCCTCAAGGCTAGTAGTCCTTTTTTATTTATTTATTTTTTTACAGTCTCAAAGGAAGAGACACCATTTCTAAGATTTCTTTTGGCCCTACTTAGTATTCTATTAATAGACTTAATTCAGTTTGTGTATGTATATGGAAAACCTAAAGTTTCTACCTCACAGTTTTTATTCCTAAAACATTACTTTGGGAACCTGTAGAAGGATGAACATGATGCTCAAACAAAAGATCCAAAGCTGCCACATAATTCACAATACCTAACCGAACACATTTGTTTACAAACCAAACTTTCATGTACACACATTTGATATCTTCATGTATGTTCCATGTTTGAGGTCTTTACATATACAGATAAAGATCAAGAAACTAAAACTGGTTCAAAGGTATAAATTTTTACACTAATAGCTAAAGAAAATGAGATTTACTTGTGCACCTAATATGTCCATAATTTTCTCACTAAATCTTCAGAGCTCAAAAAGGTACTTGCTTTAAGTTCTAAGAATTAAATTATTTTAAAATGTGTATTTACTATCTGTAGTACTGTTAATAAATAAACAATCCACTATATTAAAAATGTACTTCTAAGGTCTTAAATTTATCTGGTTATAAGAGTTCCCATTTTTAAGAAAGCAATACTGAGGACTTCAAAAATGGTATATTAATTTCTATTAAGATCAAAGGGGAAGCCAATTCCCTCATTTAAAAACTCAAGGGAATAAGATTTAAAAAACTCACCTTTTAAATTATCAAAGTGTACCCAAGATGCAGACTCTGATTTTTTGGTTTCCATATGACTTTTAGACACAGTTTCTTCTGTCTCAACTTTTTTCACGGTACCTATTTCTTTATCTGCATCAGTGAATGTTTCTATGTCTTCATCATCACTTATGTCAATAAAATTTTCATCATCATCAGATTCCTGAAAAAGTGGTTTAATGAATCTGAGTCAATCAACTGGAAGTCTGTATTCAATTACGTGAGACAGCTATTGCAATTCTGGTGAAACATGAAAATTCCACCAGTGAAATTAGATCGAGGGGAGAACAATGTATCGTTATTTCTTAATAGAACAGAGTTAAGTTTTGAGCCAACAGTCCCTGTGACTTTGGGACTTGATGACATAAAAACATTCAGCTCTCAAACAAATTTCTGACATGTTTTAAACAACCCTACCAGATAGGTGTTACTGTTATGTTCATCTCACAACAGAGGGAACAGGTTTAAGAGATCTGCTAGCTCTATAACCATCTGTAACTATCTCATGTAATTGCAGTTTAGTGTAGTGCAGTTTATAAGGAGAAAAGGGGTCAAGCAATATGCCCACCTAGTCAAATGTACACCTGGGCTAGAGTCCAAGTATGTCCGACTGCAGGACTCACACACTGACATGCTCCAGACACCTAAGAAAGTTACTGTCATTGAAGCAACAAAGAAAAACACCAATGTATTTCAGAACCCACTCAATTTAAAAAGCAGTTGTAAAATATACCGCATGATCGTCTAGTTGACTTCTTAAACTTGGTTTTGCTTTAAGGATCTCAGACACGAGATATAAAGCTCCACATATGAATGGTGGCATCTGTTCACAAGTAACTTGAAGTAACCTCTTCACAAAAGCCTTCACCCTGCGCAACACGATGTCAGTTTTCAGAGACTTGTAGACAAGGTTAAGAAACATGGCTTGCTTTGAACATGTCATTAACCCTGGGTCCAACATCTTCCTGTAAAAGAAAAAGAAGATCAACTATTAATTCATAAAACATTTCTACAACCAGCAGCCACATATTAGAGGCAACTACTAACATCATCTTAGTTAGGGATAACTTTCCTACTTATTTTAGAACAAAAGCCCATTTCTGCCAAGAGGTAAAATTTAAGTCAATGACCAGAAAAGAATGAATGATGATGGTAGGAGTGGGGGATCACAGAAAAAAGAGGCTTTTCTCCTCTTTTCCAAGTGGTTCTCCATACTCTAGACTAAGAGGGCATGGTCCTAACAATGTAATTTTCATAGATACAGAACCACACATGAAAAGCTAATCCAAGACCAAACAATGAAACTGAGCTATGAAAGCAGTGGACTAGACCTGGGTTCTTATCCTTGTATCACTATCTACTAGCTGGGTGACCAGAAACAACCTCCCCCACATGGTTCTAGTGAAGACCATACATGTATAGTAGAAAACTGAATTGTGAGAACTTCAGAGAATCTCTAGGCCAATGTTCTAACTCTATAATGTCCTTCCATACATGCCGTTCTCTCTGCCCAGAATGGTCTTTCCCAACTGTCTGCATGTCATTTTCTAGTTGTGTAACCTTGGGGAAGTTCCATAATCTTCACAGTAACTGTATGAGACAGTTACTTGCTCCACTTTACTAACAGGGTTGGGTTATTATGAGGATAAAGTGGCTGGGACTCAGATCCAGACAGTGTGGCTCATGCCTCAGACTTCACTACACTGCATTTCTCGTAAGACGCATGACTAAGAAACTATAAAAATGAATTAGAAGGAAAAGCAGAGCTTTTTGGTATACTCCAACAGTTGCAAAGTGTTTCCACACTGTTCAAAAGATCACGCCTCAATGGATAAATTGCAGGACAACTGCAAAGTTCAGTAAACAAAATCTTAATCCCAATATAAAAAAAATTCCAAAACTGTAACCACCAACCATCCCTACCTAACAAATTTTCTTGTTTACCATCTGACTTCCCCAATATAAATGTAAGTACCTCTGCTTACTGTTCAGTTACATCCTAAGCACCTGGAACAGTATCCAGTGGATAGTTGGCACTTAAATTCTTGATGAATGAATTACTAAATGGCTGTATGAAGGACAGGGTAAACAATACAGGACTGAGCATGGGGTTGGGAGTGGGGAGAGAAGGAAATTTGCATCTGTAGTTCTATCTCTTTAATATCCTAACAGATTTAAAACAAATACAGCAAAATGTTAAATTTGAAATATTAGGTGGTAGGATATGGATGCTTTGGGTGTGTATTTTTCTGTATTTTAACAACTTCTCAATAAAAAAATAATAAACAATATTTGCAAAACTTGTAACATAGCTGTCCAACAGAGAAACAAAGATTAAGTGACTTACTCAAAGTGAGTGAGTAGCAAGTCCCTGAGGGGGCCCTAAAATCCAGTTCTTTCTCTTGCCCCCAGTGGGGTATTGCCTGTACTGTAAGATTACTTTATTCCTCACATTCACATATTGGGAGGGTATGTACTTACCTGTATAATGCTGCATAATATCGATCCGATATTGTCTGCTGAGAATTCATAACTTGGAAAAGCAACATTAAAGCCTGCACACTGGTATTAAAATTCACAATATGTAACACTTTAAACAGCGTATCAACCTGCTCCCTCACTTTGTCATCACCAGTCTGGGAATAAGGGTAGGCCCTATTCACTCCCGTTAAAAGGGCACTAAGCATTTTTGATTCAATATCTTTTTTCTTGATACAAGTGCGAAAAAAACAAAAATACAGAGTTATTAATTTGTTAGCCAATTCACTTTCTTCATGGGAGAGGACCATTTGATTTAAAAAGCAAATTGCATAATATTGTGCTTTGAAGCTGATATTTGAGCGAAAGAGCAGCCTTTCGACTTCACCACACACGACGCCTTTCATGTTGGGATGTTTACAAAGCAATGTCTCTAACAGATGGGAGGCTTTTGTGGCTATTCTGTTCTGAGGATCTCCCAGTTTGTTTACCACCTGCACAAGAAGAGCTTTTTCTTCCTCAGGTTTGTTACAAAGAAGCTCATGAGCCACTGAAAGAGCTCGAATTTTCGTGGCTACTAATGAATCATGACTTAAAGTTTCTAAGACCTGCACAAATTCAGCCACTAAGTGTTTCAACTGGTGTTCAAAATACCATAAGATAAGCCTTCTGTCTCTGGAGTCCCTGTTGCCACTAGACAACTGTTCTAGTTTGTTGAAAGGATGCTGGCTGAAAATCCGCAGTTTCCGACTGTCTGGCAAAAGATCTGTAATGAGTAACTCTTTGAAAGTATCCAAAGCCATGAGGCACTGCTGTTTGCTGCCCTTCTTTTTCACAAGGTTTACGAGAGTTTCTACAAACTGGAGTGTGTGAACAGCATCATCCTGAATAAGAAGAATCATGGCTGCCATCCTGTCTCCTAGGGTCCCCGATGACACAATTGCCTTCATCCAGGTAGAAGAGGCTCCCTTTTGATTATTTGACTTATTTTTGAATAAGTTAATTTCATGCTCATACAACTTCTGAGCCAAAGTTTTGTACTTAGACACAACATCCCGAGGCTGGGGTTCCAAAGAACATTCATTGCTATACTCCAGATCATACCATTTGCCTCCAGGCTTCAGTAACAATGCTGGTCTCTCGACAAATTCAAAGATGTCCTGTTGTTTATCTTTCTTTACTTTTGGTATAGCACTGTTGTTCTCATCAGAATGTTTTTCTGGTCTCTTCTTATTTTTCACCTTACTGACTGATGTCCTTTCACCTTCTGCTGCATTTTGCTTTTTATTATCTAATTTAGATATGCTTGCGTTTTTGTTGGCATCTTCTTTGTTGGGCGGTTCATCTTCAATTATGAAAGCTTTTGCATACTTGGCCAAACTCAGACTTTGAATAAATGCTTCCAATTCACCTTGCTGAAGGTCATCAATTGCTCCTTTTTTGCCTCCATCCACAACTTCCTCATTCTCATCCAAAGCAGCCAGCAAAAGGTAATCTTGCTGCATAAAAACATAAAGTTAAAAATAAATGACAAATGCAACAGTTTAGTTAAAGCTTCAAAAGTTAATGTGAAACCTGTATCTTTGAAATCAAAGTTGTCATGGTATTGCCTGGACTCCCAACCTACACCAAAATAAATTCAAATAAATACTTGACAGATTCAAGATTTAAATGTAAAAAACAGAACCATAAAATCAGCATAAAACCAAAAAAGCACACCATAATTTTTAAAAAACTTTCAGAGTAGGGAAAATCTTTCCAAAGTTGATATAAAATTTAGGGCCCATAAAGGAAAAATGGGTAAATTTATCATTCTCTCATACACAAAACATATACACAAATCAAAAGACAAATAATAAACTGGAAAAAAAATACTGGCAACTCATATCAAAGGAATTTGGCTTTATAATTAATATAAAAGTTCCTACATATCAGTTAAGGAAGTGACAAATAACCTAATAGAAATATGTGCAAAGGATATAAACAAACAGTTCATGGGGGGAAAAATGTGATTCTTTTAAAATAAGAAAAGATGCTCAACCTCACTGACATTTAAAGAAATTTAAATTAAAACCACAATAATGCATCAACTTTTTAATCTCTCAGAGGAAAGATAAAATTATGACAGGTGGTGTTAGGAAAGGAATGGGGGGAAAGGCACTTTCCTATGTGGCTGATGGGAGTGTAAACTGGCACAACCTCTAAGAAGGGCAATTTGCTACCTTCAATGAAAATACATAGAAGACACACATCCTTTGACCCAGCAGCTCCATTTCTACAAATTTAGATTACACGCATATTTACAAATGTGGAAATAGATATTTGCAGTCATATACTGAAGCATTATTTAAAATAGCAAAATATTGACAACTTAAAGATCCACAATAAATGGCTGAGAGAAAATTAAGACAGACACAATGATTTATGCAGGCATTACACCAATGACGTAGGACTTTACATTCTGATATGGAATAATCTCTAAGACAATAAGGAAAAATGGATTCAAAATGTTATATATAGATATAGTACAGTGCCTTTTATGTAGAAAATAATACATACACATATCTATTTCCTTGGAAGATACAAAAGAGACTTACAAAAATATTGCTTCCTGGAAGGTAAATTGCATGGCTGGAGCTAGAAGTGGGGAAAAAGACTTTTCACCCCGTATCCCTTATTTTAAAAAAACCCCCTTTTTGTAGCATGTGTATATATTACATATTTAAAAATAAAATACAACCTGAACACAGAGCAAACTGAATTTGCTCCTATAAGGTGCATTTCTTCTGCCCCTCATGCCCCAATTCTAGTCTCAAAAAAATATTTAATAAAAAATAAGCCAAATCTTCTCATGATTTTGTCAAACTCAAAGTAAAAGCTCACCCTCTTACGTCTCTGACCTCATTCCTTACTAATCTCCCCTTACCTCACTCTGCCTCAGCTACAATGACATTTTTGCTGTTCATGAAACATGGCTCAGTCCTTTCTTTCCTTCAGGTTTTTGCTCGAACATCTCGGTGCTGGGTTCCCCGATCCCCTCTCTCACTCCCTGTCCTCCCTGGTTTTATTTTTCTCCGTAGCACCTCAGCGTCGGACATACCGAGGACTCAAAAGTTTGGTGACTGCTCCTTTCCCATAATCAGGATGCAAATTGCAAGAAAGCAGAGAGCTTCTTGAACGTACAGTGAGCATGTGCGTGTACTCGGTGAGGACATAAGTTAAAACTCCAGCACTACTGTGGTTCAAAATGCTGATGCCACCCGAGGTCAGGACCAAAAGTGTCAGTCCTCGCGGGCCCGACGGAGCGCCAGCCACACTACGTCAACACGGCGAGAGGATCGCCCTCATCCGAAGGCCGCAGCATAAACACGCTCAATTCCACGTCTATCTTGCACAGAGCAGTGGAAAAGAAGCGGTGCCGGGGGCGCACAGAGCACTTTTCGGAGCTGGGAAGCGGGTCCGAGACGCCCTCCACAGCCGCGGGGCCACGCGCAGGACCACGGCCCGCGCCTCGGGTCCCCCTCTCCGGGAGCTCAACGCCATTACCTTGGTGCCTCCAAGCCGTAACACTTCCTCCATGGAGAACCCATTCTCGGCTTCATCGTTATCATCCTCGTCGTCCTCGTCCGTGTCGTCTACCTTCTTGTCAGGACCCCAGGGCCGCTTGGCATGGAACTCCAAAGGCTTCTTGGCGGCCGCCATGGTTAGCAAAGCACGCGCGAGCCGTCAGCATGTCCCTTCCGCTCGGCCCGGTGACGTAGTTCCGGCGGAGGCGTGTCCTCTCCCGGAAGTGCCCGTAATCCCCACCCCCGGGCGCCTGCCGGCTGCTTGGGAGCCTCAACATGAGCGTCCTCGCGAAGGCCGGCGCGAGGTCGCTGGGCAGAGCGGGTAAGTGTCCGCCCCCCGGACCACGGTTGCCGTGGAAACCGCGCGGGGCGCCCTGCTCAGCGGCGGGCGCCTGGAGCGCTCCAGGCCGGGAGACGAGTCCGGCCTCCGACGGAAAGCGGGCTCGGGGCGGCGGGCTAAGTGCGGGCCTGCCTGAGCCTGGGGTGCGTGCTGCGGGCCGGAGTCCGCTTCCCGGCTTCGGGCGAGGGGAAGGGGTCACGAGGCCGATCTGAAAGCGCTCGGGCTGCTCCGCACTGTAAACACTACGGTGTTGACCGGGCCCCGCTTACCGTGTTTTTCGCAGTCCTTCCCTGCCTTTGGAGAGGGAGATACCTCAGCTCCGGGAAGGAGCCCGCAGGAAACCAGCCGGTGACGCCGATGCTGCGGCACCTCGGGTATAAAATCAAGGCTACCGGGCCCATCACTGTGGCCGAGTACATGAAGGAGGTCCTGACCAACCCGGCCGAGGTAGGAGTCGGCCCGAGGGCCAGGCCGCGCTGCCCGGCCGCCACCCCGGGACCGGGGGGCGGGTCACTTGATGTCGCGGCAGTGAGGTGACACAGACAAGTTCCAGAGGCGTTCGGGAGACCGGGTAGCCGACTGGCTGTGTGAGACGCCGGCAGGACGGCTTTCCTCCGGGGCTGGCGGTCAGGGGGAGGAGTTTCCCTGGGGGGGAATCGAGGCGGAGGAAGCGCCGGGCCGGCTGTGGACGGAGGGGCGAGGTCAGTCCGCTTTATGAATCTGCAGTTCACAGGGACCCTGAGGTGGAAACAGGAGCCTGGAAATATGAATTTCGTGCCTGGAAAGGGACACTGGAAGCATATTCTGGGTTTTTTTCCTCGAGAATGGAAGGTCTGAGACTGGACTGTTCTAGGATTAAACATTGTCACAGCTTTCTGGCCTATAGTCCCTTGTCTGCTCCACAGACCAGATGGTGAAAGCCTGTAGGCCTTTTTTTTTTTTTGAGTGTTGCACCTTTTGCTGAGTTGAAACACGAGATCTGTGGATTTCTGGGGTTGGTTGGGTCTATTGGATGTGGTCGAGTGGCCTGCTGTCCAGAGGTTTAGGCAAGGCAGTTATTTTAATTAACTTCTAACTGAAATTTAGCAGTTAGAATGTGTAATCCTATGTGTTTTATGTCCTGTGCATTTAAAAACATTCTCTGAAGGGATCCACAGGCTTCACTATACTACCAGCGTGGTTCATAACACACACCAAGACACCCCTGAAATGCTTACTTATGAAGGGCAACAGAAAGGCTAGAGGGTTTCTAATGCTGAGAGGGAAAAGTCAAAGCTGTGAGAGGAAGATCAGATGATACAAAGGTCCTGGCCCATGAGAGCTGGCTGAGGAATTGCAGTCAATCCGGAGCACGGGGGGATCAGGTTTGGATAAGCACAGAAGGGGTAGGCATTTCATATTTTGAGTCCTAAGGAAAGAATGGAAGCAGGTGGAGGCCAGGAGGGGTCAGGAAGCTGAGGAAGTTGTGTTGTATTCCTGGGTGGGCAGGAGCCCAGGTCACCTGCTATGAGTAAGGTGATAGAAGGCGCATAAGGACCATAGGGAATTTTTAAACTAACCATTCTTGAGTGTTTCTTGAAGGTTAGGCATTCTGATAAAACTTGGGGTATGAAGGTAAATAAGACATAGTCTGCTCCCTCAACTAACTCTGCCTTCTGGTGAAGAACACAGACGTATCAACAAATAAGCTCAGAAAAGGAAGCACTGGATTTAGCCTGAGGTTGGAAGGCTGGGAGAGGAGGTCCAAGAAGGTGGCATTTCAGCAGAGTCAGTGGATGAGTATGATTGCCAGGAAGAAAGGGAAAAGGAGAGGGAAGGAATTTCAATGGCATGGATGTGTGGACAAGCAGGGCCAGTTAAAAAAACACTGTTTATTGAGCTATAACATTCATATAGAAAAATGCATAAATCACAAGTATACAGCTTGATGAATTTTCACAAAGTGAACACTCCATGGAACCAGCACCCAGGTCAAGAAACCATGACCAACAGGCAGGGGGCTAATTTGAAGCAGAAAGTATCAGAATTTGGGGAAGGATGGCTGGAGGCGTTGGCAGGGTCTTACTGTGTTGGGTTTTTGGAGCTGGGAGGGGGAAGGAGGGTGGAATGTTCTGCTTTTCTAGTCACAGAGTCATTGATTTTCTACCATTCTGCAAAACTTGTCACTTTGTAAAATTTAGGTAAAGATAGTGTTTATCTTGCTTATTTAGAAGAGAGAACTTGCTTACTACATAATTATTTTGTTGTATACATTATATAAGATTTGAGGGGTGTTTTAAAAAGCTTTATTTGAAAATTAATTTGTTTTTTTCCATTTTCTCTTTTTACTTAGGGATATTATGTGCACCATGACATGCTAGGAGAGAAAGGAGATTTCATTACTTCACCTGAAATAAGTCAGATCTTTGGGGAGGTAACATCAATGTAAACTATAAAAGAAACTAATCACAAACATTTGAAAGCAGGTCAAGGTGTCTTATTCTATAATAGTTTTTTACAGCTTTGTTTTTGTGATTCCTCCAAGGCTTTATTTTTTAGTAGTAAATACTGAGGGAGTAAAAAGGTAACAGAGGAAAGAAAATGGTATAATAGACATTGAAAAGTTTATACTTTACTGTAGGAAAGGGAATGTAGAGATAAGAGGGACAAAAGGAAAGGAAAAGAGGTGGAGGTAAAGAGGTGACCAGATGAAACATGGGAATGGGAGAGGGAAGAGAGAGAAAAGCAAAGGTGAGGAGAGGTAGAATGTACTCCAGAAGGAATTACTGGGATCAAAATGAACTCTAAAGCCCCCGATCAGGGTTTAGCCATAGTTACAGTAGAAGTCTCCCTTTAAGAAACTCTGGATTCTTTTCAGGAATTCTACTTTATTTATTTCCATATAATAACCTTTGATCAATTTTAAAATAAGAGACAGTACACAAGAGGAAGTAGAGTCCAGGTATTAAAAAATACATTGCTTATGTGTAAGAGCCATGTAATTATTAAAGTCAAATGAATATGAAAAAATGGCATAGTTATATAATTCTATTTCATATGTCTGCTTTCAAATACAAGTACCTTTCTGTAAGCAATATTCTCTTCTCTGTGTCATGGGACCTTTTATAGTGGAGGGTGACTTTTAACTATTTTCTCCAGTTATTAAAGCTTCCTAACTAGTATGTGTTGTAAGATAGTCCCAGTGAAGTTTCCTGTGTGTGCAACTATATGTATATATTAAATACATATGGTTTGCTAACATTTTGCTTTCTGGCACAAAGTATTGTTTTCATGGGGTTTTGTACTGCGGCATGCTTTTATACTTTGTAATACTTCAGTGAAAGTTTTATCCTTGTCACAGCTGCTAGGGATATGGTTTATTAGCGAATGGATGGCCACGGGAAAAAGTGCAGCTTTCCAGCTGGTGGAACTGGGCCCAGGTCGGGGTACCCTTGCAGGAGATATTTTGAGGGTAGGTAATCAAAGAGTGTCTTAAAGTCTCATGTATGTGTATCTTATCACTGTTGAAGGAGTTTGCAAAGTTTGTTGATTTTCCTGGCTTTCAGTCCTACCTCCTTAATTTCATACTTCTCAGTGAAAATATGTCAGAATGATATAGTGAATGATTGTCTGTTTGTAAGGTTAAAATATAGGGGTGGAGGAGAATGTGAAAGCTACAAGTACAAAACATCTAGAAGACATTATGGGGCCAGGCGGTGTGGTGTAGAGGTTGAGCATCGACCTAGGATCCAGGAGATTACGGTTCGATTCCCAGTCAGGGCACATGCCCAGGTTGTGGGGTTGACCCCCAGTAGGGGCCGTGCAGGAGGCAGCCGATCAATGACTCTCATCATTGATGTTTCTCTCTCTCTCTCTCTCTCCCCCTTACTCTCTCTGAAATCAATAAAGATATATTTAACAAAAAAGAAGACACTTTGGGAGAACACACAGTCTTCTGAGTAGGGAAAAAGGCTTTACGTTATATATAAGGCAGAGTCCATGGAGGAAAACAGTAACAATATCTATTACATTAAAATGAAGACCTTTCTGTTCTTTAAAGGAACTAGTTAGTTTTTGTTCTTCAAAAACATCATTAAGAGAGTGGTGAGACAAACCACAAATTAGAGAAGTTATTTACAACACATATAACCAACAAAGAACTAGTATTCCTTTTTTTTTTTTAAACATACCTTTACTGATTTCAGAGAGAGGAAGGGAGAGGGAGAGAGAGAGATAGAAACATCAATGATGAGAGAGTCATTGATCGGCTGCAGCCCGCAACCCGGGCATGTGCCCTGACCAGGAATCGAACCCTGATCGCCTGGATCCTAGGTTGGCGCTCAACCGCTGAGCCATGCCCGGCCAGGCAGAACTAGTATTCCCTTAAGTCAATAAGGTGACAGATAACTCACTAGAAAAACCAGGCCAAATATGTGAGTAGGCCAGTCATGAAACAGAAAACTGAAATGGCCAATAAAAAAAAAAAGATGCTCATACTCATTGGTAGTCAGGAAAATGAAAGTTAAAATCGATGACAGCCCTGGCCAGTGTGGCTCGGTTGGAGCATCGTCCCATACACCAAAAGATCACAGATTCTGTTTCCATTCAGGGTGCATGCCTAGGTTTCAGGTTCTATCCTGGTTGGGGTAATTATGGGAGGCAACCGATTGCTGTTTCTCTGTCTCCATCCCTCTCCCTTCCTCTCTCTAAAATCAATAAACATATCCTTGGGTGAGAATTAAAAAAAAAATTAATACCACTGTACCCTCAAAAATAGAAAGTCTGATATCACCAAGTGTTGGTGAGGATGGGGAAATCTTTTATCTTCATTTGTTAAATCACAATTCTAAATTTTATCATTAGGAAACCAAACTGTACTGTTCCTTTTTTTATATAGGCTATGTTTAATAACTGATAGGTTATGATTCTCATAGACTGCTGGAGAGTGGCTTGTGTAAAGAACAAATTTCTCTGGAACTAATTATTACTTTTACTATGACGAGCAAATTATTGAGGTCAGTGGTTAGAAAACCTAAACTCAACACATTGTATTTTGCCAATTTTTCTTCTTTTTGTATTTAGGTGTTTAGTCAGCTTGGATCTGTGCTAAAAAACTGTGACATTTCAATACATCTAGTAGAGGTGAGCCAAAAATTAAGTGAGATTCAAGCATTAACTTTGACTGAAGAGAAGATCCCATTAGAGCGAAGTGCTGGATCCCCAGTATATATGAAAGGTGTTACTAAGTCTGGGATTCCAATTTCCTGGTACCAAGATCTGCAGGATGTTCCAAAAGGTAATGATTTTACATTAATTGATGAGAGAATTTTGATCACAACCCCTCATAGTAGTGAAAGAACGAGGCATGTTGTTGTTGTTGTTAATATTCAGAAGAACCAATTCATTATCTTAAAAATGCTTAAACATTTTTTTCCTTCCACTTTTAAATAGGGTACAGCTTTTATCTTGCACATGAATTTTTTGACGTTCTTCCTGTGCATAAGTTTCAGGTATGATGGAAAAAAGTCATTTTTATAATTGAATAACAAAGGGCCTTGTGTTGTAAAAATAAATATTTACAGTATTTAATTTTTCAGCATGTAAACATTACTTGTCCAGTTAATGATATTTGGACTTTCTCATGAATATAAATAATTGCAACTCAGAAATGAAATATTAAGTAGAATTCTTAATTCTCTTAGCATAATTATTAAGAATTCTTAATTCTCCTGAGATAAAGATGTATGAGAATAGTTTGTGTCTATCAGTCTACTCATTGTTTAGAAGAAACGAAGTAAAGCCTTTAAATAATTTTAAGTGGTAAAGTGGTCTGTAAATGTTACTTACCTACCTTATACATAGAGGAAAAACCAGTAGTACTTTTTGCTAGTGACAGTTTTAAGAACTTCCACAATTTTGTTTTTATGCATTACTTTGTGTTTAGAAAACCCCGCAAGGATGGCGAGAAGTACTCATTGATATTGACCCACAAGTTTCTGATAAACTGAGGTTTGTTTTGGCGCCTTGTGCCACCCCAGCAGAAGCCTTCATACAAGTAGGAATACGTGGGTTTTTTTTCCTTCTTACTTTATTACCAACTAAGTCATATTTTCTGAATTACTGTTTCAGAGTTCCTTTATATGGGGGAGGAGTTGCTAGCAACATGTGAGGTGCTTTTTATTAGCAGTGAACAGAGCAGAGGCACTAGAGTTGGGAGAGTGAGTTAAAATCATTTTTTAGCTTCGTGACTGCGCTGTTACATAATAAGAGATAAAGTTAATAAGCACTTACTCAGCAAGTCCTGTACCTTCTCCATTGACTTATCAAATGTTGACAGTATTCTCTTGACCGGTTTGATGTCTGTGAAAACAATGTATTACAGTGTAAAGTACAGTAACAACAGTGTTTATTGAGTTCTTATTCTCAACTCTTGCTAGGTAGAGTGGGCCTTTTTCTCTGCTTCCACTCAGATCTAAATTTGATTCTAGACTGCCAGAATGGTATTTTACTACTGTTTTCTCTTGACTCCAAGGAATAATCACAAGAGCCCATCTTGGACTTAAGCAAAGGTTAAAAAAAGTCCTGTTCTTCTCAAGAATGTTTGGACTCTGGATAGCCTGCTTTATTCCTTTTTTCCCAGTTCAGAAAAAAGATTTCTATTTTTGGAGCCATAACTAAGAACTTATAACTCAGAAGTTATCAGTTTTAAAAGCACAGGAGCTTTTAAAAATGAATCTGTGAATTAAGTTTTCTTTGCAAAGCATAAGAAAGTGAAAATATCGGCCTAAACACTTGTGAAAATTTCTATTTTTTCACATTCTGGCTACTTAGTTTTACCTGAGTGAGAACTTCATAAAGCTATCAAGAGCTAAGCCTGGCCCTGGGAGCTGTGATTCTTTTTAGTTCTTGAGTAGTCGTCACTTACGAGAGAGGGAGTGGGGATTTCCCCTCCCATTTGAGTGAGTCGAATGGTAATAGAATCTCATCTTGAAGAACAGGCTAAGATGGTAAGAATGTCAGCATGGTACACTGAGAGACGTCAGCTTACACCCGAGGTAGCTGGCCTCATGGTTTTTATAATTAAACCACAATAATTATTTAATAGTACTGGGGGCAAAACAAAACAAAAAACCTAAACAAAGAAGAAAAAAGAACAAAGCAAAAGAAAAAAGGTAGCACTGGGGGAAAAGTAGCACTGGGGGTAAATGGCTTGTTGTTTCATTTAATCCTCACAAAAAGCCTAGTACACGTGTAAGGGAGACTCGGACTCCAAGGAGTTGGGTAACATTTCTAGTAAGCAGTAGGAAGAGCTGAGATTCAGAGGCGAGCTTGTCTGACTCTACCTGTTAGACCTGTGCCAGTCTAAGCAGAGACATCAGGGCAGTCAGTACTTCATTTCTATTAGGGTAACTGTTAGGGGGAGCAAGAGTTAGTGTATGTTCTACTAATGAAGAAAAATAAACTTTCTGTTATCTCAGGAATTAGTGAAATTTCATAGGTACTAGTCAAGTTGACAAGTATTATCATTTCACTTTTTAAGCTAATATGCACTTATTGAGGACCCTTAGTTAATACCTGAACATTTTGGGAAATAAAGGCCTTGGGTACACTGGTATCAGTTCATAAGGTGATGTTTCTAGATACAGAGCATATCATTAGGATGACTGTAGCCCCAAAAGAAGGCATTATAATACACCTGTTTAATCTGGTCTGGGGGTTTTTTAATCGGATTTACGTCATTTGCTCATTCAGCAGTTTTTTGAGAGCCTATTATGTGGTAAGCACTTTTCTTAGGAGACAAAAATTCCTTTCCCATGCTTTCGACCAAGTGGAATGTGTCTACATGAATTATGATATAGACGTAGTAATAGCACCATAACTGAAGTGATAATGTTCTTAGCCTCCTGAATGGTTGGGAGGTCGTATGCCTTTTTAACAATGGGATTATAATTGAAATGTATTATTAGAGGATGGCATCAAAGAACCAAGGAGTTTTGTACAATAAAAAGGATGTCATGGGAAAGTTTGAGTGTAGAGAACATATGTTGAGAACAAATTAATTTTTATTGTAAATAGGAAATGCTTATTGCAGAGAACTCTGGAAAACCCTAAGGAAACAGTTCTTTTGAATGATGTTTTTTCTTTCACCTGTCTCTTACTAGCATGATGAAACAAGGGAGCATGTGGAAGTGTGTCCTGATGCTGGCGTTATTATTCAGGAACTTTCTCAACGCATTGCACTTACCGGAGGCGCTGCACTGATTGCTGATTATGGTCACGATGGGACTAAGACAGATACCTTCAGAGTATGTATAATTCAGTAACATGACTTACCAGAATTGGTATGATTTACTTAGGTATCAATTGTTAGTTTTGAAACATAAATTTAAGATCTTTCTCTTTGGTTTCTATAGTGCTTAGCACTGTTATTACATTATTTTATAATTAATATTAATTCATATTATAATTAATCTTAACTCTAGATCTTATTCCTAAGCCTAAATCCACTGTCCAACTTTCCTTTGAACAGGGTTTGAATTGTCTACACTCCTCAAGTTGCAGAACCTAGGGTCTGCATAGATCCTAGTAAGCATCTAAGTAATACCCCTCTTCCATTTAAAAAAAAAATTGGTACTTTGCAGATTTGATCTAGCTACTGTAATCATTCAAACTTTTTCTGTCAGATTTTCAACATCGTTTTTCCTTCTCCAGATGTACTTTTTTCCCCCCCCAAACATCCATTCTTAAGTTCTTTGAATACGATCAATTCTGTTCAATTTACTATAATTGAAGTACATTTAACTAGATGCTGTTAGTCATTTTCTAGGTCTTTGGCTCTCAATTTCTAACTTTATTGTATCTTAGAAAAACCTGGATGGTGTGTTAAAAATGCTGATTTCCTAGCCATGCCTTCAGGATTCTGATTCACTAGGTCTGGGTAGTCTAGTAACATTCTCAGGTGATTCTGATGCATGTGGTTGATGATTAGATTTTGTAAAACACCATCTAGGTTCTGATATCCTGGATTCATCTGGAGAATGAGATCTCCTCTATTCACGGGCATTAATGAAAATGTTAAATAACTGTTAAGGCAGCAGCATCTCCAGGTGCTCTAACACTACTTTATATTGGGTTTTCCACATAGCATCTCATTTGAAGAAAATAGTGATACTTCATTAACAGTTTGTAAACCACTGACTTAGGCCATATTTTCCTTTTTAACAGTTATTATATAAAATATATTAAAATCACAGCACTTCTTTAATCTTGATAATGGCATAAAAGGAGAAAAACTCATCATTTTAAAAATTATGTTCAAGGGATTTTGTGGCCACAAGCTTCATGATGTCTTAATTGCCCCAGGAACAGCCGACCTAACAGCCGATGTGGACTTCAGTTATTTGCGCAGAATGGCACAGGGAAGAGTGGCTTCTCTGGGTCCAATAAAACAACAAACGTTTTTAAAAAATATGGGCATTGATGTCCGTCTGAAGGTAATGATTTATTTCCATATATTTTAATTTCACAGTGCTTCCAATAAATATTTTAAATACGTTTACCTGGCCTTAATGTTCTTGTAGTTGGCCAGAACCCTAGTGTTCCAGTCTTTTCAGTAATGTAGGATTTAGTTTAACCAGATGGCCCGGGAGCAGGGTAGAGCAGCCTAAGCTTTCATGCATCTCAATGTGAGATAGAATTAAAATTTTCAAGTAGTGTTCATGTTAAGAAAACCTGACTACAGTTATGGGTATGAATTTTATAACTGTTCTGAGGACATTTTAACCCTTCAGTGTAGATCACACTACCTGGGAATATTTGTTAAACATACAGATTCACAGGTTTGTGTCACAGCAACCTATGTTTTTAATAAGTACCCTGTTGTTTTGAGGCAGGTGATCAGAAATCACAGTTTAAACACTGCTTTATTGAATAGCTAATAGTCATTAGTGTTGCTGCAGATAACTAGAAATCCATTCTTCTGGTTATTTTTACTAAGAAAATTTTTTCTTTTCAGGTTCTTTTAGATAACTCAGCTGAGCCATCATTGAGGCAGCAGTTACTTCAGGGGTATGATATGTTAATGAATCCTGAGAAGATGGGAGAAAGATTTAACTTTTTTGCCTTGCTGCCTCATCAGAGACTTCAAGGTAGAAGCCATCAGATGAATGCACGTCAGTCAAAACCTTCCCCATCACCTGTGGCTGGATTTAGTGAACTTGCTTGGCAGTGATATTTCAGTTTGGACTTTTTGCCCCCAAGTCTGCCTAAGAAACCAAAATAAAGGGAACACATTTCATGTATCACAGGTAAAATAAGTATTTTATCTCTTCACAGCCAATAAAAATAGCCCATCTTATATACAATACAACTAAACACTGATCTTTTAAAGTAGTTTTAACTCTGGGAACAAATGTGTGTTCTTACATATGAAACAAGTTATTGTGAAACTGAGTTTCCTTTAACTAAATAAAGCTAGTTGCTATGTTTTTATTTCAAAAAGTAAACATGAACACTGATTGGTTCAGTAAAAACTGGAAACAACCTAAATGGCCATTTACAGGGGACTGATTAAGTAGAACCATCTATATATTATTTTAAAAAATGATGTAGAGTAGAATGTCTTACAGTTATGATTCCATTTTTGTTGGAGAAAAGCTACATTTAAAGAAATGCTTATAAGTAATTCCATAGACATGAATATTTTAGTGCAGACTGTTTTTTTTTCAGTTCTGTGACACTTGTATATAAGAAGGAAAAGATGCCCAATAATCACTATTAAATTTCCCAACCTGGAAGTGGGTTTTAGGCGTAGGAAGACTTAATTTGTTTTTCTTCAAAGTATTTTAACTTTTTACCATATGCTTCTGTGAATTTTATAATTAACAAAATTAGACTTTAAAAAGTTTAAAAGTCACAATAAAACTAGTAAACCTGACATGTATTTAAACTGTGAGTTAAATGTAGATGACCTAAGAGGAATAATTTCCTAAAGTGAGCTAATTCACCTATATTTTCAGATAAATGTCAAGTTTTAGTTAAGTTCTCATGTTAGTTCACAGAACTTTTATATTGATACCAGACACATGCACTTTCTGAATTGCTATTTTAGCAACACACATTTACAAGTGAGATTAAGGGAAAAGAATATAGCCATGTGTCTTGAACTTTCTGCATAACTACTCTATTGGAAGTTCACTGGCAGAGTGATGAACCATTGCTTTTTATTGCTTCTTTGGCCTGAGAACAGGACTAGCATTCTGTGTATCACTCTAACATAAAGGAAGATGGAGGCCAGCCTCGGGCTATTCCTAGCCACCCTTATTCTGTTTCCATAAATTTTGTCCCAGAATTGTTGTGACAGTTTTTAGAAGATGAAAATGCCTATGGTTGGCTCCTCCCAATTAATTGTCTTTATAATAAAGGGGGAAGAGTCAGGCCATGTCTTATATCTTAAAACCTAGGAAAAATACTTTGATATTAGGTATTTAAATAAATATTCTGGCAGCTGCAGTAGTGGATTATTTGATGGTAGTTCCTGAAAAATTTGTAGTTATAATTATCCCAGACTTGAATTCCAAGAAATGGGACCCTCCTGCTAATTACCTCAAATTGCATATAAAATTGTAATAATGAGTTATTTTTTATTTCAGGCAGTTAAAAAAAAGTCAGTGTTCTTAATTATAGCATTAGTACCATTTACAAATACTGTTTCCAAAATATATTTTGCCAAAGCCTGGGAAAATAACACAACCAAATAAAATTTTCTTGTATACCTTGACTAGAGATAGGCTTAGGTTTTCACATGGAAAAGTATGGTGATAAGGAAATATATTTTATTATTAAGCTTTTTTGAGGATATTTACAAAAAGTGGGATGTAACAAAAAATATAAAAATGTACTGAACAGTGTCATTATAGACTACTTTGTACATTATCAAATGTTTCTCACAATTATTTCTTACACAAATACAACTTGCAAGACAAAAAAGGTTATGCAGGTTATACAGTATCTGGAGTACTCAACTCCAAATTACCTGACAGTGCCTTTACAAATTTAGAAAACTTCTCAGGCATTCAACAACAAAAACAAAAAGAGTGCAATTAATTTCATGGCTTGTAAAGTTTGATTATATAAGTATAGCAAACAAACACCATTCCAGTTAATTTTCACCTTACGCAGTAAAACCATAATAGGATACCTACTGACTCAGAATTATTCCATTTTAGCATGCTGATATAAACAGACTTATTTTGGAGAAATTTGGGGAAGTCATCTTCTATCCTAGGGAAAACAGAGTTCTAAAAGGTTTTGTAGAACTAATAGGATTTTTAAAAAACCTTTATGAGAATGAAATACTGAGAGAAGTGGAATGTCTCCTGGAGACCTTTCTGGGGAGGCAGTGTAACAAAAATGGTTAGAAGGGTAAGAGGAACTCTAGAGCCACACTCTCTGGGTTCAAATACTAACTCTGTGACTTCAGCAGCTAGTTAATCTCCTTGTGCCTCAATTTCCTTAATTGTGAGATGGGGTTCATTATGCACTTAGCTCATGGCTGTTGTGAGGATAAGTTAACATCTGAAGAGCTCAGAACATAGGAACACTGCATGTTTGCTACTATTCTCTCAGAGATCTTGAAAGGCTCTCTGAGTCTTAGTTTGCTAATATACGAACAATCTTTTCCTTTGCTACTCCTAATTCAGTGGGCAGCGACAGTGAACACTTTTATAGTTTATTGACTATGTTCATATATAACTAATCTTCAAAACAACACTCTGAGGAAGGTAGAGGCAAGAATTATGATCTTCATTTTATAGATTGAGGAACTCAAGGCTCGGACAAATTGCCATCTGGCCAGGCCAACATAGCTAATAAAGGGAGCTAAGACTTTCAAGACTTAAACCCAGATCTTCTGATTCCAAATCTTTTGCTCTTTTTGGAGGGGAAAAAAAAAGTTCAAAGCGATTACTAAGGAATGAAGAAACAAAAAGCGATTACATTTTATAAGTTCCAGATAGTAAAATTTTGGGGGGGAAAACTATTAGTAACTTTTTAAAAGCTGTGAAAAAGTCTAACCTCTTAAATCACATATCTGAGTAGAAAAAAATTTCTTTAGCTGGCTGCTGGAGCTGAAATGTTTTAAAAACCCTTATCCTTTCATTTGCTCTGCTGATAATATAGCCCTATCCTTATAAGTGTTTCATGCTCAATCCAAACTGCTTAGAATAACGGATATAAAAACATTCCAGACATCTGTAAAACCTCCCAATAAGCTAAGGGAAGAAAAAAATGACTGTTTGCTATTCTTTCCTAGTTTTAAGTGACCCTGTACTGGCCTTACTTTTAATATATATTTAATTTCCTCCTTCAACCCTGTGTTAAGATAAATTGTATAATTATAGTTTAGGTGTATACCCAATGAATGTTGGGAATCTAATTGTGGCTATATCATAGCGGTGTCAGTGGGAACATAATTCATTAGCAGCAGAGTTGAGCCATGAGAAGACATACATAGTACTCAGCACTCAGACCAGCAGTTCCTACTCCTGGTTCTGTAACATCAGTTGTTCAAAATTTTCTTAGAGGCTATTGTAACATACTCACAAAAGGTGACAACTTAATTTTTATGTTGTAGATAGCACATTCAGAGTTTTAATTCCAAAAAGGTTAGGGATCACTGTTTTGGAGTCTTGATTGACCTAAAAAAGAAAGGTAAAACAGTCCAGCACTCCTTTTTTAGGTGTCTACGAAAAACCCCTCAATCCCTTTATGGTCAGTTAAACAAATGTTTAAAGTCCTTACAGGCAATCACAAGCTGGCAGCCTCTCTGATACCTTTTTAAATGCAAACTTGTTTAGTAATCAACCTTATAACTCTTGTATGATTTGGTCAAGCTATGTAGTAACTGGATTTTAGCTTGCCTTTTTTGAAAATAATATAAAAACAGGAAAGGGAAGATAAATTAAGTGCCACTATTGTACTAAAGTGAAGGATTAGGAAAAATAAAAAAAAATTAAAAAACCAGTTATTTCTTATGCTATAAAAATTTATGAAAAGCTTCATCTTGGTTCCATTATGTGTTTTTATCTCTCAGTTTCCCCTCTTGTACCTACTCATTTTGAACTACAGTATTGGTGTCACCGATTCCTTATCATATTTCCTCATGTCTTTGCATCCTTGCAGATGACAACCTCCAAAGAACAGTTGCGCAGCAAAATATCAGTCCATAAAATGAAATCCATCCTTATTGAAGTTAGCTCATTGACAATTAAGGATCTTCTTCCATGTCATCTGGATTGGGAGCCATGATGAAGTGCTTTGGGTATACAAGGTTATGTGTGTATGCATGTATTTCCCAGCGGGCATCATCACTTTCATGTGTAATGTAACGTTCTCCAATGCGAGTTTCAAACTCTCTAAGGTCAAGCCAAGTCTGATAGTCCTAGAAAAAAATGAAGTGACTATGATCCACACAAGAAACAAAATCCTGTCAACCTTTTTTTTCTTTGCTTAGAACCCTAATCATATAATTGACAAACTCCTACTCATAAGTACTTGCTATAAAGTAAGTTCCACTTGTAATACTTTAAATTAGAAATGTTAAAGATAAATACTTTTTTAAACTGAGTATGAAGAAATTAACTAGTTTCTAAAGTTAAAAAAAATATCTCAGGCTTCTGAGGTGGCTAATAACAATCATTAAAACATTTTGTTCTATACTATGAGAGGTCTACAACTCCTTAAAATAGGGGAAAGTGCTTAGAATCATTTATCAGGGTAATTTAATCCTGAGAGTAAATACGATTGCATTTGTTCTGAAGTTAATTCTACTCTTCATTCCCTTTAAAATAGTTCTAAATCGTCTCTCTTTACACTGAAGTTTGGGGGTACCTTTTTATAAATACATGCAATAGCTTTTGGAGGAATTAAGCCAAATGTCTCAAATGGCATTTCCAATCTCTTCAATGCAAGTGTGAACCTTTAGATATTTTGAAAGTAAAATATATTTGACAAAATAATATGTTAAGCTCATCTTACAAAAAGGTGAAATGGACACACAAGGCCCTATAAAAGGCAAATTCATTGTTTTCAGTTCATAGAAGTTTAACTGCCTATCATTTCTGCACTTCAATGGTGTATTGCAAAAACTTCCAGAGATTCGGCCATAGCAAAAATTAATCATTAAAGAACACTTACATTATTCTAAAATGTGCAGAATATGTTGATCTTAGAGTGGTTTCATTAGGTAAGAGAAACCACAATGATCTGCAAATGAGGATTGCCAAAGAAAGACATTTTTTACCTGTAGCCAGGGATGACTGAGAGATTTGTCCACACTGTAACGTTTTCTCATCTTCACTTGAAGTAGGTTGTTTATCAAATCAATTGCTAAGGAAAAGACAAAATTAGATACATGAATTTGGGTGTACGAAGTACCCCATACCTGTGACTCTGCCTGGAAGTTAGTTCAATCCATAGAAATAGAGAGTTGAGGATTTTTTTTCTCAAGGAC